GGAGTTAGCGAGCAACTGTAGAAGGATAGAAAGCAGAGCTTGTGTAAATGAATGTATTCTTGAGTTAGAAATTTGCTCTATGTAACGCTAGTCGCTAGAAAACATTGAACCGCAGATGGTAACGAGCAAATGTCGATTGATAATCAATCGCTTTGCGACCGTTGCTGCCTGCAAGCAAGCCCATGAGGCCTAGCGCTATCACCGAATGCACGCTTGCTGAATGGATGAAGGAGTGTGACAGGTTCCAAATCGCTATGTAGAACATCGAGGCGAAAGCTGCGTGCAAATTTAAAGATACAAGGTGTAAGAGGTAGGCACTCCCTGGCTGTAAAGCGGTGCTGCGTTTCGTGTCCCAGCGTTCGGTACTTCTACTGGTAGAAATATGTCTGAGGTCTATTGGAAATTGCGGGCTGATAGGCCGCATCTCGCGTGTTGGTGTCGATAATTGAGGGGCTGTTGAGGGAGTGAAGACATCGCTGTGGGGGTCTTATCTCGCAGCTTTTCTTTGTGTTTCTGCCGAAGAGCAGAAGAGCTTGTATTGGTTCATCTCAAGCTTCGTTGAGCCGCAGGCGTCTCCAGCAGATCGCTGACATGTTCACAGCACCTTTCGTGGCTGCTTGACCTGGACTTCAGAGGTGCGGTAATGCTGAACACTTGCTTGGAGAACATCGGAAGCGGAGGGGTTAGCTGTTGCGCAGGTGTTGAGGAATCCTGAATGTGAGATGTATCAGGTTGTCGTTTGGAGTTATTCGGTAGTGGTGCGTGGGATGTGCTGGTTGTGTGTTGTGTCTCGCCAGTTAGCTCTTGGTTGTAGCTCAGTCGCCGCTCATGTACGACTGAGAATCTTGTACTTGTCTCGCAGGTCGACCACAATCTTGACGTTGTCGTTTGGTGCAACAGTGAGGCATTCGAAGATACCGAGCATTCGAACGTTGGGCATCTTGTGTAGGGAGAGTGGGACATGTGGACTCTTCAGCCGATCTGAAAATGGCCATGCGACCAACTGGACATCGTAATCCATCTGTCCCGCCAACGCCTCAGCTTTAGTGCGTTGCCCAATGCCAGGCTTCGTTGGGGGGAACACGAATTCGATTGACTGCAGCTCAGGAAAGGCGTAGTAATGTGCCTTTGGGACCGTACCAGACTCAACCCTCAAGTTCAAGGTCTTGACTCGACTGGTCAACCATTGAAGATTATGCGTTCGTATAAGATTTGCGAAGAAGGTGTGGGCTCGTCGTTCAAAGATGATCTTTCCCTCAAAGTTCTTTAGGTAAGCCTTCCGCCCTTCTATGGCGAATCGTCTCGACACCAAGAGGACGTTAAGGGGATTGTTGTCGACGGCGCGGACGGGTTTGCCTTTGATGGTACGCGAGGTGACAGTCAGAGACCATGGGCTGAAGTAATGGGTTAACACCATGAGTTGAAGTTCAGTTGGCAGAGCTTCGAATCGGAAAGGTTGATCAGGTGTGTCAGTGTTGGTGCTGATCGCAGCATGCGCAGCAGGCTTCTTAAATTGTTTCGGTTTCATTTTGGTAGACGGGAATCCCGCAGCGCAGCACACTTGCTCAAATTGATGTAATGGAGGGATGCGAATGTAGTTGTTCGGGTTGGTGTGGAGGTAATGTGCAGCCAGGAGAGTCCCGTGGAAAGGTCGCGGGTTAGGAGCGTCGCGACTCGTGCCAAGACCTGCAGCCAGCAGGAGGCAGCGGGCGAGTCACTGCCCCGGTTCCTTAGCAACCTTCAACAGGGTCCACTCCGCCCACCTTCGTCGTCTCCGGCCATGCCTACTGACCAACACCGCTATGTACCTATATACCTACAATCGATAGCCTCAACCCACATGTTGAAATCGCCACAAGCCGCAGGTCATGCCGTCGTGGCAGCGCAGCAGCAACGTCAACTCGCATCACCTTTATCTCGCCGTGAACTGTTTGGCCGACACTGACAAGCGATTGGAGGTCGACAAATAGCAACCAGACCACGAATCGCAAATTGACGGGCAAGCATTCAATACTGTTGTGGTATGTTTGCGAGGAGAACAGACAGGTTGGACTCACCCTTTCGACTTGCACCTTCGACCACACAGTCGCGTCCTTTGTCCTAAATTTGGAACTGAAGAACAAAGCAACTCCCGACACCCCGGTCTGTCGAGTCCGAGGCAAACCGGCGCAGGCTATGCCTTAAACTGTTTCTCTTTGTCTGTCGCATTGCCGATGGCAGGTAGTCAATGGCGAAATGCCCTGGCGCGTGTTCTGCCACGGACTGGTGGTTCGAATGACGGAGCGTCCATCCATCTCTTCGACTGTTGGACTCATCAATGACACCTAGTTCTTGCTCTCTCGTCGTCGATCAGACCAGCAGATCTCGTCGGTTCTCGTCTTACTGATGAGCTATATTTGAAGCGAAGGTAGTCGAAAAGGTCAGACATCGAAGCTGAAATCACGTGACCTTGTGCTCCATCCTTCCCGTGCTTCCCGCTCCGATACCGGGAATGCGCTCCAATAGGTCGAGAGGGCAGAATTACTCCTTCTGGCAGGTCGTTAGCATTATCTGCTTATCGAAAGGGCGCCTCACCGGAAGCCCTAGGTACCACGACCATGACGATGGCTCTGAAGTCCAGCGCATCGAGCTTCGCTATAATGCCACGATTTGCGATAGGAAGATATGGCATTGCGTCGAGCTTCCGTCTGCCTCTCTACACAGCTTTATGAGCCTACCCAGCATCCAATATGAAACGACTTCTTGTTTTTGCTTCGCTAGCGATCGCAGCCATAGCTCAAACTTCCCCCTTCGATGCGCGCGAACCAACGATTGCATCCGTCCATAGCGTTCTGTTCACACATCAAAACAGCTGCCGTGATGTCGTCTCTGCTCTCATCGCTCGAATCGAAGCTTACAACCCGGCCATCAACGCCATCATCACGGTCAACCCGGAAGCATTGAGTGATGCTGACCAGCTCGATCTATCACTGAGCGCCGGAAACGCCACCGGGTCGCTATTCTGCATACCGATTCTCCTGAAGGACAACTACGATCTCGCAGGCATACCGACAACGGGTGGCTCCGTCACCTTGAACGCATCTATACCCGTGGCAGATGCTCCTGCGGTAGTCGCATTCAGAAACGCCGGAGCCATCATCCTTGGTAAGACTAACCTGCACGAGTTCGCGCTGGAAGGCCTCTCAGTCTCTTCGCTTGGCGGACAGACAGTCAATCCTTACGACTTCTCGAGAACGCCTGGTGGCAGTTCCGGCGGCACAGGAGCAGCTATAGCAGCTTCTCTTGCAGTATTCGGAACAGGTAGGACAAAGCTGGGCCAAGTCTATCGTATTGAAGCTAAAATGACTCAGGCACCGACACCGTCAACTCCCTGCGAAGTCCAGCCAGCGCCAACAGCCTTTACAGCTTCCGACCAACCTACGGACTCATCTCCAGAGCAGGCGTCATTCCCGTCTCTTGGACCCAGGACACTATCGGAGCCATTGGTCGGTCCCTCTACGACATCGCCACAGCCCTCACAGTCATGTCCAGCATCGGCTACGATGCACGCGACAACGCAACAGCCCGTATCCCAGCCTCCGTCAAAGACATGGACTACACAGCCGCCCTCACCGGCCCATCAACCCTCAAAAACACCCGCATAGGCGTCCTCACACCCTTCATGAACACCAGCTCCTCCCCCGAAACCGACCCAGTAAACACCCTCATGTCCACCACAATCGCCGCCCTAACCCGCGCCGGCGCACAAATAACCTACATAAACGACACAACGACCTACAACGCCACTCTCCTCTCCTCAACCCTCGACGTCCAACAATTCGAGTTCCCCGAACTCCTCTCCACGTACCTCTCCAGCCCGAATCTCACAGGCTCCCACCCAAACACTATGGAAGACCTTTACGCCTCTAACACTAACACCTCGAACTTCCTCGTTATCCCATCGCAATACAGCTACGTCCAGAACGCGCTGCACTCATCCACATCTAATACATCGTACACCGCCCGTCTCCGCGGCATCGCAAATCTGACAACAACACTCCTCACCACCTTTTCAACACACAACCTCGACGCAATAATCTACCCTGAGCAGAAAAACCTCGTTGTCCCTGTTGGTTCGCCGTCTCAATCAGGGCGAAATGGGATACTAGCTGCGCTGACGGGCACACCTGTGATTACGATTCCGATGGGGTTCTCGAATGCGAGTGAAACTGCGCCGATTGGTGTGCCTGTGGGGATGGAGATATTGGGGTTGCCGTGGAGTGAGATGAAACTATTGAGTATTGCTAGGGGGATTGATGATATGTTGCATGCGAGACGGGCGCCTGTGACGGGTGGGATGAATGGGGTGGTTGAGGCGGGCTATTATGAGAGTGTGCCTGTTATTTGGCCGAAGGGGGTAGAGAGTATCGATGTTGAGGCGTACCCGTTGGGGACGTTTGGAGTCGTTTAAGGAGGCAGCCTGTCGTAGAGGTGGTGGTAACAGTTTATGCTCACTTAGTGCACAGTGAAGAGTTCGAGAATGAGGTTAGTGCCATCCATCGGGAGCGAGTATCCTGCCGAATCGAACTCGGAACCCTCCATCACGTCTGCATGCTATTAAGCGATAGAGTATTGGACCGAGTTGAACCAACAAAGAAGCATTGTCCTCAAGCAGCGCTTCATATTCTAGAGTCTACTCTCGAGTAGATTCCGTATTCCGACTCTAGAATACGCTCTCAGATATTCTAAGTATTCTTGAATATGCCAAGGAATATCCTCTTTCCGATTACGGTATAGTGGGTATAGCATTGACATCGAGGTGGAGCCTATAGGTGGGCATACGGAGGCGGTAGCCTCTGGTTAGGGTAAGCTTTGCCTGTTCGGGCAGCACTATGTCGGGCCTTGGCATATTCAAGAGTAGAATATAGAATACGGAATCCAGGCCTCTATATTCTAGAGTAGATTCTTACTCGAGAATGTGAAGCCCTGTCCTCAAGACAAAGAAACTGCAAAAAAGATCGCTCCCTCGAGGGGAATTGAACCCCTGTCGCCAGCGCTTGTATGTCAATGAGCTTTGTTAGCTCCCACCATCATGACAAGCTGGAATGCTACCACTACACCACGAGAGATTGTGTGTTGATTTGTGAGAGAAATATTGGCGGACCACAATATATCTCTTCTGGTTCTTTGTTTTTCTTTTGGCTTTGACAAACTTTCATTGAAGGCTCGAGAGGACAAGATTTGGCAGGCTCCGCACATTAGATCGCAGTAATTGTCTCAACTTCAACAGTTTCGAGCCATGAAAGAAGTACACTGTTTGCAGCTTCAGCTTCAGGATCTTCCTGGATGTATGAGGTCTTTGTGGTGTTGTCGTCGACCCATGTCCCTGAGGTGAACGATCGTGCTGAAATAATGCCGACGCGCTCGTACACGGTATCTGCTCCGGTCTTGCTAACCTTCTGAGAAATTGCAGGTACAAGGGCTAGACAGCGCAAATCGCTCCACCAGTTGTACAGGGGTATACACCACACCTCGTCAAGCTTGTCCCGATTCGACGCTGGAGTGACGTCTGCATCGAGCCAGCCGAGTACATGGCCAGTCAGCATCTCGTGAATGGGTGTTCTTCCGACGTGGAACTCAGTGTCAACCGGCAAACCACACATGGCACGACCCAAGCGTCCACGAAGAACTAGCTGGCCCGAATGGACCTCTCCAAACGGATTGAGCTGGCTGAGTGGCTTTGTCCAGCAGTCCAGAATCTCGCATTGTAACTGAGTAGCTCGCTTGAATCTACCTGAATGTGCCTCTTTGCTATCATGCATGTTGCTGAATTCGAACATCGGTGTGACTTTGCCCTCGATGCTGGCCCAAGACCAGGTTGGGGCGCGGTAGGCTGGTGGCCTCTTTGTCTCCCGGGGTGGTGCCTTTGCACTTTTCGGCGGGATCGACCATGCCAGATTCTCGCGGAGACTGTCTTTCCAGAGACCAGCAAGGTACAGTGATTGCTTATGGTGAGCCATTTCCGCAGCTAGACCAGCCATGGCAGGGAGCTTGTCTTTGCCGAAGGTCAAGTTACGCTTAGTGAATTCACTGACTATGCCTGCCCAAGCATTGAATAGCTCTTTGTTGCCAATATTTTCGGCATCCTTTATTGGAGTTCGATCACGCTCCAGCCATGGCTGCCTCGTTGATCCTTCCGGTATGCACTCACACGCCCTCATCTGCGGGCACGTCCAACGCACCTCATGTTGGTCGTGAATGAGAGATCTGAAGGACAAGATGGTTTCTTGTAGTACCCAACCGCGCGAATTGAGTGGCTTACTCGATCGTGGATCCAGTGTTCTGACGGTCTCGAAGACATGGTGCTGTTCAGGCATACTGCCGGTGCCGGAGTGGTGTAGCTTCGCTTGGATAAAGCTCGTGGTGCTGGAATTGCTGTCGTCAGTAAACAGACGAGCCAGGCTATCAAACATGGGAGTCCGGCATAGCGCAGTGTCCTTGCCTGTACGCGGCATGAAGCATCCACCGTCATCACTGTCGGCAAATTCAGCGAAGATTGTGACCGCGGCGTCACGATAAATCCTACCCATCTGAGCAGATTCTCGTGTCCAGTCCTCAGCTAAATCCTGGATGATGCAAAGGCTGTCAATCCAGAGATACTGTATGCCTAGGTTCCTCGTGATAGCTACAGCGTCCTGAAATGTCTTGGGCATGCCTGACACAACGATCGCATTTCGTCGGCTTGAGATAGATGTCGTCTCCGTCTTAGATTGCTGGCTCTTGCCCCAACAGTGGCTTAGGCATGTATAGTCGGCGGATAGATGATCAGGCGGCTCGAAGAGGAATGGCGGCTCCCTGCTCACATCGATGACCCGTGTCGGCAGCATGACTTGTCGCTGCTCTCGTCTTTTTCGGCATACTTTGTGCTCGGTGTCACATCGTTGCATCCATAGATTGGCGAGCTCGGATGAGTACGGGTCACCAGTTGTTGCATCATTCTCGATGTTTCGGGCTTCGCATAGCTGCACCACATCATCTTGGATTACTGGTAAGCATGCGGCGTACCAAGCCGACATCAGGAGCCATCACTTACCTGGCAGTCCCGAGATCAGGCTAAGGGCAGAAGTGGTTCTCCTGGAGCCATCTGTGTGCGTCCAGTGGACCGCAACGTCAATGCATCTGCTCGCCAGTTCGTCGCGCAACGGCTTTCGAAACGTGATGTCAAGCAGGACAGGAGCATCCGGGGCGCTGATATCCTCAATACCCGCGGAAGTTGCTTCCCGGAAGAAGTCACGGTGTAGCTGCCGCAGCGCTTCCGGTGCGTCAACTCCATTTTCCGGATCATCTAGTTCATCATAGAGCATGTCAACGTGCTCCCAGTCATCCACCACATTCTTCGAATCTGCCACAAGCTCATTGTACTTACGGATAACGTCAAGCATGAGATAGCACAGATGACACCCAGCATGCTTCGCTGACCGCTCTAGGTCTTCAAGCGAAGCAGCATGCTGGTACGCGATGCGGGTGGCGATGCCGAAACCTACCTCTGAATACTTTGGCCCATAGAAAGGACGATGTGAATCGATACCTTTACATGTGTCGCAAAGGTCCGACCTCATAATAGGAAGGATAAAATGGGTTATGCAGATTGATGACCGGGAGGGCCTCAGGCAAGTAGAACACGACGTCGTGGAAGGCACGAAGTGCTCTGTCGCGGTGGGGACCCTAGCTTGTCTCGGGCGAGCTGCCCTTTTCGATAAGATCAGATCCTATTCTTAGAGCTCGAGCAACAGAAGCAGAAAACACAAGACAAGCGACGGAAACTAGATGCCACGTTCATTCAATTAAATTATGCTGATGTACACATATCATAGAGTACAGTCTATCATGGGTATCATAGGTCGTTAAGCGTATATGTATCCAAGCTTGCTTGCATATTGCCCTCATTATCTGTCACCGAAAGCCAACTGGATACCCTCCCCCAGTAATGAACATTGAGCATGGTCAGAAACCAGCTTCATCCCGACTTCTACGCAGCAATCTTCGCCATACTCCTTCAATCATTTCATGCTAGCTCCAGTCAAGCGTTAATAGACTGTTCAGTTGCTAAGCTTATCACTAAGCAGCATGAACACACTCGCCAAATTTCCAAACTTGTCGCAAGGTCAATTTACCTTCAGCATTCTGGTCAAGCACGCACAGGTCAGCATCACAGCCAACCTCTAGTCGTCCCTTGCGTGTCTCGCCAAGCATCCTAGCAGGAGTTTCAGTGACAGCTCGAAGACCGTCGACTGTGCCGCACCCCGTCCATTGGATGAAGTTGTTCACGCAATCAAGCAAGCTGATAGCCGAGCCAGCAATGCGACCATTCTTCTCGAGAGTCAATAGGCTGCCCTTCTTGATAATGTTCTCCCCATTTGTCCATGGATATACCCCATCTGGCAAGCCAGTGAGCGGCATGGCATCTGTGACAAGTATTGCGCCGGATGGGTGAGCAGAATAAGCGATCTTGAGAGTGGGTGGTGATAGATGGATGCCGTCGCTGATTAGGCCGAAGAACGGTGGGTCCGGCACTGGGTCGGGTATCGAAGAGATGGAAGTGCTCATGGATAGCGAAGATCGAGGTGAGCGTCGTTGTGATTCGATCGAACTTCGTGGGGTGGGTGTGCGAGATGATCCATTGGAGAGTGTTCGTCGTGGAAGAGTGAATGGTTTGGGCGGTGACGATGGCCGCTTGGATGGAGATTTGATGGTGGGTGATGATATCGGCGATATAGGCTTCGGAGATTGTGTCGGTGTTGAAGGTCGAGATGGGTTCTGTCCGAGCAGGCCAAGGATACCTGGATCCCTATGTCCGAAAGGCCGCATAGCGTTAAACATATGCGTGACCATGGTTGCACCAGCTCTAAGAGCCTCCTGAGCTTGTTCGAAGGTTGCATCAGAGTGGCCGATAGAGTAGATGATGTCTCGTGACACGAACTGCGGGATAAGGTTGACCATATTGCCTTGCTCGGGTGCCGCGGTGATGTATCTGACGTGCTTGAGGTTGTCTTTGCCGTAACATGCCTCGATATCTGACCAGGTCTCTGCTTTCTGGAGGACCTCTTTGGTGTGTATCCCATTTCTCTCAGGGTTCAGGAAAGGCCCCTCCACATGTGCACCCAAGCATTCAGTCCCTTCTGAGGCTATTCTTGATGTGCTCCTGCCTAGATGTGGAAGGTTCTCTTGGTAGACTTCCGGTATGGAAGAGGTCATCGTGGGCGTGAATGATGTGACTCCACTTTTGATCAAGTCTCTTCGTACGGCTGCGAACCTTTGCTCAAAGCCGCCGTCCAGCTTCGCAAAGTCGAGACCATTGTAGCCGTTGAGCTGGACTTCGATGAAGCCAGGCGACACAATCTTTCCTTTCAGGTCGATAACTGTGTCTGGGGTACTACCAGATCCGTAGAAGGCTGACTGGGGTGAGATGATCTTGCCGGTTTCGGATGAAATCCAGAGGTCACTGAGAGTAAGCTGGCCATCCTTGAGCAGATGGCCATTGGTCAATTTTGTGATCTTGGCAGTCATAGTCGGAACACACGCCTATCGCAAAAGATAAAGTCAGAGCAAGCAACAATGAAGCGAGGATCCGTCGCAGAGGTATCTACGAGAATGAGAGTCGGACATGACGACTGCCATTCAGGTTTGTGATAATATGGCGGCAGGACAGGAGCGATAGGTTGCGTTGGAGGGTTGAGAGCTCAGGAAAATGATATCCAATGATACCATACACATGTCACTCAACTTTTCCTTCGACTCGCTCACGTTTGAAGAGCAAGCGACGATGACATCGCATTGATAATCAGGAGTGTTTGATCCAGCAAATGGCCTTGAAGCCTCAGGCACGAACTCGATGAAGATATCGCAGCATTGCGACGTGTGTCTGGCTGATGGCAAGGCAGTAGGGAGGGAAATTCTGATGCAACAGTAACAGCAAGCAGATGTAACCTCATGGACGGAGAAGCTGCAACGTCCATATCAGCAATTCGGATAAGCCCATTTCGGGAAAGCGCGGTTGGTTGAGCTTACCGCAGTCCCTGGGGTAAGCGTCAAGCTAAGCCATATCCGCGATTAGGCCCGCTACACGCGA